CAGAATTCCTGCAATTTTGTCCCCATCTGATCATACCAGACTTGCTGCTCACACACCTAAGATGGCTCCCATGTCACAATTGCCTCCAAAATTGTCACCGTTGCATCATGTGTCCTATGCTTCAAGTTCAGCAGGCCAGTTGTCTCCATCGATTCCTCCGCCTTCATTGGCAGGATCCATGTCATGTAAGTTATAAATATTAGTCTACATGCACTAATTTGTAGTTTTGTTCATTTATATATATTTTTCTTGCATGCATATGCCCTTTTTAAAAAAAGTGAGGATTACACTAGACGGGTTCTTAACACAATGTCTGTGCAAATATGACATTTAAGGAGTTGTTGATTTGGAGATAGAACTATATTAAGTGATAAATTAAGATTCATGTAGGACTAGCGAAACCTGCTGGTTATATCTAAAAACGTCATGTGAATAAATAATATAAATGATTACTACCTCTAGTTTATGCATGTTCTGTAAAAAAAAAATGAGTTATGATGTCAAACCTGTTTATAAATGGGTCAACCTGTTTAGACTTCTAGACCTATTTATTATAAAATGTCAAATGAGTTAGTCAATTAAAAATTTGAATTAACTTTTTTAGCATATATATTAAATATCTAATAGGTCAAATATAATAACAGGATTAACATGTTTGGTTAATAACACAAGTTAGATGAGTCTAAAAAGGGAATAAGCAGTTTTATCTGTTTAGACCCAATTTTTAACAGATCTAGCTTGTTAATATTTCCCATTTAGACTAAATCGAAGTTTGTTTAACTCCATTTCTGAATATTTATGTTTGATTCAGTCCTAGATTTATGTTTTTACAAAATTGTTTTGATAATTCCTATCTAATTTTGATAAGGAATGTCCATCCGCTGACCTGTAAGACCGCTGAGTTGATTTTGGTGGAGTCTCAACACGCCCTGAGATGTTGGGGCCTGATTTATATTTTATTTCTAAAATGTGTGCGTGCTGATGGCAAGTGTCTTCCTGGCATTACAGTTAGTATTGCAAATTTTATTAACTTCACCATGTGCTTGCAGCTCTGGCTATTGGTACCTTCTACAAGGAGATATTGTTACTGGAAGTTTCTGCACTGTTGATCTTCTATCTCTTCTGTCTGCCATATTGGTAGTTCATTTTCTTGTAGTACCCCAAAATAAAAATAAAAAAAGAAAAGGAAATATTTTGCAGCGTATGGAAGGGAGCTGATTCTGGTATCCAAATTTTGTTCCTGTAAGGATGGTAGAAGCTTCTTCGGAAAAAAGTAGTCTTTTTTTCTCTTTCCCTCAGATATGAAACATATATGTAAAGACCCAGAAGATCAAGCAGCTGGTCAAAGCCAGAAAGGTGGCAGGCCTCTCGCCTTACTTTGACTTGTGATCTTAAAAAAAAAAAAGAAGAAAAGATTGGATGTGCTTCCCAAAGGGAACAAACTCCTAGGTGTGACTAGTGTAGTCAAGAAAACAAACATTGACTCTTACATGTGTAAAGGAGAACTTTCCCTTGTATTTGAATCAAGTGTAAAAAATGCACGTTCTTTTTGAGCCCTCTGCATTGAGTGCAAAGTGTTGTAATTGAAAGATTGGAACAGCTAGTCTTACAGTTACATAATAATAATACCCATGGAAAGAGAGAATATAGCTTCAACAATTTCAGAGTCCTGAGTTGTTTTTGTTTTTTTTTTGGGGATAATTTCTGATTGCAGGGTTTTATGCATGAGGTACTTTCAAACATTAAGCCGGAACATTGATGGCGAGGTTCTGCAGGAAATTGGTTGCAGAAACAAAGGTTTATGATGTAAAATGATTAATCAAATGCTCGTGTCGACTTTGATTTATCACCAACTACGAGCAAGAAGAAAAGAAGTGCAAACAATGGGAAAAAACTGGTTCAATTCAGTACACATAACAAAAATTGTCATGAACTGTTTACTCTGCAAGCATTTGTTCTTTACATTGAAGAGTATTTACGCAGTCACACATCTAGCTGGAAACATAACAGTGTAAGCTGCTAAGTTATTTTCTTCTGTTGGTAAGGTAGGAAATAGGTGGTCTATCAACAAAAACACGTCGACCATCTATGGACATGGACTTGTACTTCCAGGCTGGTCCAAGAAGCCATGATGTTGCAACTCCACCAATCAAGCCCCCAAACTAAAAAAACAAGTTATGTTGTTATTATCCCGTTCAAATGAACAGAACAAAAAAAAAAAAAACAGAATTAACATACTAATGGGAAAAAATGAGAGCAGAAATAACACTGGAAAATCATCTGCATTGTTACTGTATTATCACATGAACATGTTGAAAGAAACTTCATGAAGGCAACTTTATTGACATGCAGAGCTGTTTTTGTAAGATATGAGAGTTGAGTTCCATAGTTAAGTATAAATCTCTAGCGTGAAACTTTTACATGGGGTTTGAGGTGTTCTCTTTAAGAAGTTCTTACGATGCAATCCTCTTAAGATCTGTATCCTGTGGCGAGCTGTAGCCAAGCCCAAGCCTAAGACCGTGCCTCGGCTAAATTTGGGACCATGCTCCACACTAAGTCATGGCAAAGCCCTAAATTATGCTAGTTAGTGGTTGATTCCTTCAGAACTCTGGAATTAGAATTCTGCTCCAAGCCAGGTTGTGTCTGAACAATGTCCTGACAAGAATCATGCCTGGCCCAAGTCCATGCCACAAGCTGGTTTGGGTCGTGTCTGGGCCTAGAACCATTTACTGGTTAAGAAAAGGTATCCTAGGATATTTTAGAGAAAGAAATACCTTTTTTCGTTCTACAATGAGAACTTCCCATCATCTTAATTGGACAAAGTTTGTCCTGAAGCACATTGTAACAGACAAGTTCAATATTATTTTGGATATAATATGGAACTGAACTACCCTGTCCCATGCGGGACAGCAACCAAACACTATCCCTAAACTACCTTAAAAAAAATTGGAGCTCATTCCATGGAGTGAAAAACCTTGTGCCTGTAAGGAGTCAAACCCACAATTTCTTAAAGAAGGGAGTGACACTATTAAACTGTACCAAGGTTGCCGTTTAGCATAGAGTATCTGTATCTGATCAATGCAACTTGGTGCAGAAAATAAAGCATTCACCATCAAAACTATCGTCCATATTCTCTATTTTCTTGTGTTATTGTGCTTGTCAATATGGAAACTCATTTGGAAGGCAAATAACCAATAAGGGTGTCTTTGCTGCATCTACTGTTACCTTTCTCTACTCTTCCAATCTGAGGTATGTAAATTAGCTAGGCTTACCGAAAGATATAAGAAACTTCGGTGGCAGATGGTTTTCCCAGTAAAAGGCAAAAGAACAGTTCACTTGAGTCTTGTATCAGTACTATCTCTGATGCACTCATCAATTAGTTGGATGAAATTTCTAAAAAACTTTATACTGTCAGTTTGCCCTTGCAATTGGTCGGATTGGAATTCCATAATTGTGGTTTCAATTTACAAATAAAAATAAATAAAATAAAAGAAATGAGGAAATATGAACGGAAAAAGAAGAAAAACAGCTAACACTTACATGCCCCCAATTATCAATGCCCTTAGACATTAGTCCAACAACCTGCATAGAGATGTTATTTACCATTGAATCAGTAATATTGGCTGAAAGAAATGACCATCGGAGAAGTTCATAAAAGAGAAAATTTCATTCCAACAATCAAGATATGAATGTACAAACAAAACTACAAGAATTTAAATCAATCATGAGGCGACACAGATGACTGGACTTATTCAGGAAGAAAATTGATGCTGAACAAGAAGACCCTAGAATTTATATATTTTAATATTATGGGATATTTATATAATTAAGGTATTTAGGTTATTTAGGAACTGTTAAGAATAGATTTATAATTAATTTAGTATTTTGTTTCTTATTTAGTTATAACTCTTTGAATAAACTCACTATCAAAATCTTTTTTATCCCGAACAGTGAACTGTTAATGGTTAGCTCATACCATATTTAGGACAATCACTTGTGCTATGTGCTGCAGTTCTTCTCTGCCACCTCCTATCATGCCTCTATGCCTTGTTACAAACACAGCAACTGATCCCACCTACACAAACACTGAGGTGTTCACTAAAAGAATTGAAAAACAATCATCCAGAAGGATTGATATGTAACAGAAAGTGTTATTGGTGCAGTAGCAGAGAGTGTCAACCAACAAGCTTATTTCAACGTAGCTTTGATATGTAAACAGATTCTGCTGTGATATAAAAATTAAGATTCAAGGGAAAGGTAGTACCAAGCATGCAAAACAGTGATATTTGAAACTAGATCAACTCCCAAGTTCTTAAAAGTGGATACTTTAGGAGAAAATTTTAGCATGCAAATCCATAACAGTGAGTGCAAATTTTCCAGCTTTTTTTTTCTTTTACCGGGATTAAGTTTAGTAGAGAGAATGAATTTTTTTTTCAGTTGGAAGGAGAGGGGTGTAGTGCAGACAGAACCATGACCTACCAGTCCAAAGATTGCTCCTGATGCACCAATTGCAGGTGCCTTGCAGAACCAGTAACTCATAGCTGAACCTAACATTCTTGAAACAATTTAGTGATTTGGGGCAAGCAGTTCTATCATATATTGAAATGAGTTTATAGGCTGTTACTTGCAATAGCAGAGGTCAAGTAAACTGCAATAAATCTCCTTGGACCACTAGTAATCTCCACAGTAGGACCAACAGAATTCAATGAATAACAGTTAACCTGAAGTGGAAAATTTACCCTTAATTTATTGAAGAGAAAATCAACCATGAAACAAGATATTCCAAGCCATGTGAACCAAACCAGACCATAAGGTGCCCAATATTTGCATGCAAAAAAGATGATGTGGCTAGCCTCCAAATTTGTCCTCTGTCAATTAGACTATTAACCTGCATGCATATACAAATTAATCCACAAGAACAAGAGTCAACATATGAATTCAAGTATTGAAACAGACGCATCTTCTTAAGCAATTTAGGCAGTAAACCTTTGCTCCCCACAACAGCAACTTCCCTTGTGATGCAACTTGTGCAATGTAAATTCTGCGCACAACATTCGGCAAGACAAAGCTATTTCACCAGCTTGTGTGGATAATTCGCCAAACTTTTGGAAGTGAAATGTGACGTGGACAATCAAGAAAAGTTTAAACAAGGGTATTGAAAAAAATGGCATT